GGATAATTTGCGTGAGCCAATATCCATGGCTGAAATACCAATTGTTGCATCCTCATTTTTCTTGCGAGCCAATGATTCCCATCAGTCAAACAGACTAAGACATCGGACCCTTTGCAGAACGGATACTGCTCCTAATGCTGAGGATATTAAGAGTAAGTTCTTTTGCAGATGTGTCATCTGACGATTGGTAAGAGACGCTGCTCAAAAACATGAAGGTATTCTTAATCTTTCAATTCTGATTTCATCTTTATTTTCTTTAACATGGCTGAGATGCAGGAAAACTGACACATACATGTGCACTCCAAAAAACTGCTTTGTTTTATCAATTCATACAGATAAAACACTGACATACTTGTGCATTCACTCATCCAACATAGCAAATACACATCCTCAACAAGGTGACAATTTGGAGTGGTGGCTTGTTGGTTAAGCAAGCAAGAGATATAACTACTTGATGCAACAAATATTTTCATTTGCTGTTTCTTATGTTTATTTTTTCTCCTTTTTATTCTGCCTTTGTTACATAATAAACAACTTCAAAATATAAAAATAAGTCCAATTTCCAACAAAATTTGTAATTTTTCTGCTTCAAATATTACAACTCTTTAAGCAAATGCAGATCTTCGCAACACATGCACTATGCAATCCCTGCCACAATCAATAAGAAAGCAAAGCAAATGCCATATACATATATATTGTTAGTGCAGAAATATCTGTTGTAATATGAACAGTTGGGATGGCTTGTACAGCAAAGAACTTGACATCTTAATACTTCACATCAGTAACTACACATTCTTTTTCTGTTCAGTGTTTGGAGACCTTTATGAATCTTTGCTGCCAAGATTTTTCCCAGTGGGGGATTACAATCTGAAAGCACTTCCTCTGGATCCTAATAAAATGCAATTTTGTAAAAAAGCTGCAAGGTTAGAGATTCCTTAAATGAAAAATAAAAATATGATGAATAAAAAATCAAAGCATTTGGAATGAGAGAGACCAGAAAAAGATAAAGAATCTTGTAATGAGAATGAGAAAGAAATAATAATAACAGAGGAAGTGTTTTTCAGTTTCATGTGTTGAGTAATTAACAGGATGCAAATCTCAAACATATTTTAAGGTGTTTATTGAGGTGTTTTGCAGACAAATGTCCTCCGTAGGCGCACCATGGTGTAGCATTGATATTGAACAGATCTTCATAGCGCCACGCACAGACTGTGGGGATCTTGGCTGAGTGTGGGAAGAGGAGAGCAATAGAAGAGGCAGATATAGGTATCAATGAGAAAATGGCTTTGTTCTCAGAAAAAAAACCTATTATCCCCAGTGTCACAGAGGGTAATGAACTGCAATCAAGGAGAGGTGTGAAGCAGTTTACCCAGGGCTGTAATGGTAATATGTCGAAAGAGAGACGAGGTATCTGTATTTCGATAGTAAAAGTGTTCTAGCAGACACGTAGTTGTATAGAGTTATGATGAGAGAGCTGGGATATACAGTTAGCATTACGATGTGTGTGTGTGTGTGTGTGTGTGATATGTTGTGTGTGATGTGATGTGTAGGTGGTGTGTGTTGAAGAATGTGTAATGGTATTGTAGAGTGATGGTGGACAGTGTGTGGTAAGTGTGTGTGTGTTAATGTTGTGTGTGATGGTGTGCTGATGGCATCAGTAGTATGATGGGGTGTAGGTGAGGAGTAACACGCACAAGATGTAGTAGGTGTAGTGGGAGGTGCCTTGTTGGATGTGTGAGTACAGCTATATTGTGGAATTGTTAGTTGGGTGTGCCCTTTGAGTGTGGTGTTGGAGTTACACATTTGTGTATAAGTGAATAGTATTGAATGTGAGTGTGAAATTTGGTGTGTGATAATTCGTGTGTAGTGGATAGGTTTGTCTGGTGTGCGTGTGTCTGAGATGGTGTATGTGTGGGTGTGTCTGGTTAGGGCCTGTCGGTAACTGTGTTGTGCTGTCTGTGGAATCGTTAGTGTGCGGTTGTGAGTGGGTGCTGGTGTGTGGTGAGTGTGTTAAGTGTGTGTGTGTGTTAGTAGTGTGTGGTGGTGTGTGTAATGAGTGGTACTTTGTGTGTGGTGTGAGTAGCGATATTGGTGTGTGTATTTTGGTAGATGAATGTGTATTATGTTGTGTGAACTGTGATATTGTGTGTGTGAGTATTGTGTGATGTCGTGTAGATAGGTGTGGGGTGTGTGGTGTGTGTGTGTGTGTAGTGTGTGATGTGTGGGATGTGTGTGTGTGTGGTGTGGTGTGTTGTGTGTGTGTGTATATGTGAGTGTGTGGTGTGTTTGTGTGGTGTGGTGTGTGTGTGTGTTGTGTGTGTTATGTGTGTTTTTTGTTGTGTGTTATTTGGTGTGTGTGTATTGTGTGTGTGTGTGTGTCGTGTGTGTGTGTATTTGTCAGTGTATTTTGTGTTGGTGTGGTGTGGTGTGTGTGTGTGTGTGTGTGTGGTGTGTGGTATGTGTGTGTGTATGTGTGTGTGTGTGTGTGTGTGTGTGTGTGGTGTGTGTGTGTGTGGTGTGTGTGTGTGTGTGTGTGTGTGTGTGTGTGTGTGTGTGTGTGTGTGTGTGTGTGTGTGTGTGTGCGTGCGTGCGTGTGTGCGTGTGTGTGTGTGTGTGTGTGTGTGTGTGTGTGTGTGTGTGTGTGTGTGTGTGTGTATTGTGTGTGTGTGTGTGTGTGTGTGTGTGTGTGTGTGTGTGTGTGTGTGTGTGTGTGTGTGTGTGTGTGTGTGTGTGTGTGTGTGTGTGTGTGTGTGTGTGTGTGTGCGTGCGTGCGTGTGTGTGTGTGTGTGTGTGTGTGTGTGTGTATGTGTGTGTTGTATTTGTGTGTGTATTTGTGTGTGTATTTGTGTGTGTGTGCATGTTTGTGTGCACATGTGTATTTGTATGTGTGTACTTGTGTGTGTATGTGTACGTGTGTATTTGTGTGTACGTGTGTATGTGTGTGTGTGTGTTGTGTGTGTACTGTGTATTTGTGTGTGTGTACATGTGTATTTGTGTGTGTGTACATGTGTATGTGTGTGTGTGTGTGGTGTGTATTTGTGTGTGTACATGTGTATTTGTGTGTGTAACATGTGTATTTATGTGTGTATGTGTGCATTTTTTGTGTGTGTGTGTGTATATGTACAGGTGTGTGTGTGTGTGTGTGTGTGTGTGTGTGTGTGTGTGTGTGTGTGTGTGTGTGTGTGTGTGTGTGTGTGTGTGTGTGTGTGTGTCCAAGTTATAAAATAGAAATTTTTGCCAATCATACAAATAATAGAATCATTCTATATAATTTTGTCCTAAAACTCCCCAAAAGACCACAAAGCTTTCCTAACCGTACAAGAATAAAATATGCACATTAATGAGAATCTGAATCATTTCCATACTTCACTTGGTATCATGATAGAATGGCCATCTTATCATTTATAAGGTCCATAATGATGTGCTGATGTGCTCCATGCATGAAGGTGGTAGTGCTGAAAAGTTGTTCTTAACGCTGTGTTCTAGAATGCTGAGGTGTGATATGGAGTAATAATTTTTTCCCATTCATTCCAGTAGTCCCTGTTATCTACTCTATAGTGAATGTACTAAATAATTGAACCAAAGTATGTGCTTATAAGTTTGATATTTGTAAACATTAGATGTTGATATATGTTTCATGGCAGCAACAACTAAAGCAAAGATTTTTATATAGCTATATCATATTTGAAATACTGCACATTAGCAATAAATAAGATTTGTCTGAGCAAAATGCTGGATAGTTATCAATGTGTGCATAAGTCTTATCCTGGGTACACCTATATGCCTTTTGTTTATATTGCATATGCATTTTATAAAATAAGCAATACAAATTCAGCCAATGAACTGGGTCAGACAGGAGGAGGAGGGGGGCATGGAGATATACAAATAAATATACCCTGGTGTATGTTGACACAAAGTGGCTTTAACTGATAACTTTTTCCACTGTTCTTGAGAGTTCTATCAAAGCAATATGAGGGCATGGAAACATATCTGCTCACAGTATTGCAATTATTGTCAACTTGGGACAAAGACAAACAGTTTATAGGATCTTTTTTATTAGAAATAAGGAATCTGATCTCTCTCATTCTATATTTGGTGAAATAAGAAATAAAGAAAAGGTCAAAATATCATCTGATTATGTTTTTGAATGAGTGAGTCTGGTACACTTTATGTAAGGCCAATAAGGGCAATTTTCCAGCAAGCTTTATTCCCCTTAAAATTGAGTAAGAGAAATCATAACTGGAAAGAGAAAGTAAAGTAGGTTCTAAGATGAATCTGATGTGTGTTGACACAATGTGCACAAAGCTTATATCATATGCAAGATGTATTCTATTTCAGCATATGCTTTATACCAGGAATCCAGTATTATATTTATACTACAACGATCAATATTTTGTACATGAACTGCTTTTATGTTGCTTACATGAAAAATATGGCAAAGTAATGTGTGCTCCAAGGAAGCAATATAGTGTAACAAAAAAGTATATATATCCATATATATATATTTACTACATCAGCTGCATTTTGCAAGAAAACCTTCTGCATCTCAGACAACAGTGTCCACAAAAAAAAGGTGATGCAACTGATTGACTTACCATTTATAAGCCTGATCTAGAAGATTGCAGGGATGTACAGTAAACACTTAGCCCCACAATATCCTTATCTTGTCTGCAGAGCACTGGGGCTGTGGGATATTTGTCTCGATCTCTCCTAATTTACTTCAACTGGTATTCTGATAATCCTCCCACTTGTTAACAGTGATCTTCCCAAGTGTTAATTGTAAACCAGCCAATTACGTCAATGACTATTCTCTTATTATCTCTGTATTCCTATGAAGATACACAATTATCTGAACTTTTTGTTTCTTCCATTTTTCATGTTGTTTTCATTATCAATTCCAAATATCTAATCTATCTACCTAATCTCCTCCTCTACTTAAAATTTGATTAGTATCTATGACAAGTTTTTAACTTAATTTGGCTTTCATATTTTATCCTAGCTTTTTTTTTTTTTTTTTTTCAAACAGAAGGTTACTTGTAATGTTACTATATATTTCATAATACCTATTAAAGCCATGCAGCATCCTATTAAAATGAAAATCTACAGGACTACTAATTTTCCTTGGGTGAATCTGTGGACTCCAATCAATCATGAAGTATTCAAAACCAAAATACAGTTAGCAATCCACATAGCATTTTTATCCTACGTTCACAAAGCAATTTACATGTAGTCGTTAAAATTCATTCAATTAAGATTTCATATATAAGTCCTATACACTTTATATTTCCATTTTATCTTCAACTTCCTTCAAATGAACCTTCATTATCACATACTCAGGCATGCACAAAAGACTACTTCAACTTATCATTTAATATCAATCTACTCAGGCAAAAAACACATTAATACCAAGTCATAATCACTGGCCACTGAAACTCATTAACAGTCACACACATTCTGTAATCAAATCATGCCAATCTCAACCTCTGCAGTTTCCTCTTTTGGCAAAATACAAACCATCCATACTGGAACCCAGCCTAAGCAACACTGTTCAGTCAAAAGCTTTCATGTGCTCTAGCATTTCATACCTTTATAGAGGATGTTTCTCCTGTACTGATTACATATCACTCTTTCTCAAGAGACAACACTAGAGACAAGTTACTATAGCATAAAATGAAACATTGCAACAACAAAAATGAAATAAGAATGACATTTTTATTTGTCAAGAGTTCTTCAGCAGACAGTAAAAAACAATATCACATATAACCTCAAGATATCTATAAAAAGCTTTTACTTCATGGGTAACCTTACTGTGAACCATTGCACACTGTCATTTTCAAGTATTTAAAACTTGACATATGTCATTCATTTCCTGTACTGAATTTATCCAGTTTGGATATTAGATGGTATTTGCCTGATTTCTACCACCTATCTACCATGGCTCTCTTAAATACTTGAAACTATGAGACAGAGGTGCTGAAAGGCTTGGGTAAATAGCCAAAGAGATTTATCTCTGCTATTATGGAAGGTTTCTATTTTGTATAAGAGAATAAAGGACCAAATGTAAGCAATTGTAATTTCTTTAACAGTTCCCTTAAAAAAAATCTTCCTAAATTGGATATTTGTGAATCCCCATACACCAAAATCACATCCATCGAACAAGCGACACTCCTTCCTGACATACCTGGAGACTGGTCTGGAGCTTCTGATAACGCCATCTGGTCCACCTTCTCGACAATGCCATCCTCTTCCACAGATGGCTGCTGGTTGATCACGCTGCCCTCGTCGTCCTGGTCATCATGTGAAGCCTTGGAGGGGGAGCCGCCACGCTCAGGGGACGTGGCCGGTGTGGGAGCAATAGACCCCTCCAAGCTTCTGGGGTTATCATGGAACATTAATAATAAGTTGACAATATGGTAAGAAAGTGAAGACAGTAAACACACAAACATTAATTAAAGTATTCTTATACATCACTAGGAAATTTTTTTTTTAGCATTTATCATAAAAAATATATACATAACTGACATAAAGTATTCATGGGCATACTCCATATCACAACCACTTCTCTTATTAAAAAAAAAAAAAAAAAAATCAATCGATCAATTAGTTATTTGTATAATGTCTATTGCTAAAATTCAATCCAATATATCACATGAACTAAAGTGAAATAAACATATACTTAATTACAAGAAAATAAAAATAAATAAATAAATAAATAGATAAACTCCTCCATTATATGCTCACCTGTGCCCGTCCACCATGTCCGCACTGTCCTTGCGGCTGCCAGGCTGTGAAGTGGTAGGGGGAGTATGAGGGTGTGAACGGGGGGGAGAGCCACCCCATGGGGTACGCAGAGGAGACCCAGTGTTAGAGGGGGTGCGAGAGGCTGAGTAGGAAGTTGGGGTGCGAGAGTACGGAGATTCGCCTCCTGACCTCGGCCCTCGCATCCACTAGAAAGGTGGGTGGGGTTAGAGACTGTGCTTGGCCTTCAGTATGCCTGTCTGACTTAATTTACTAAATGACAATTCTTTTCAGGGGACTACATTTAGAAAATCTGATTAAAAAAAAAAAAAAAAAAATCTTTTTCTCTTCAGTATGATTTTACTATTGAAAAAATAAATCATTAAAATAAACAAGCAATAATAATTTGGAAAAAAAAGCTCATATTCCTTACTGAAATATAATTTGGAAAAAAAGAAGCTCATATTCCTTACTGAAATCATTCTAAATTTCCACATAAGACTTGTATCACAGATTAGAATTCTAGTCTATCACTGATTCAATTCCCATTTATAAAATAGTGAGTATTCAAGTCCCTACTCTCTTACCTCAGTAAAACCATTATCAATGAAATTGTGATTCAAACCACAAATAATAATTCAAATTTGACTTTGGACATCTTACTCCCAGTAATAATAATAATGATGATACTCATCATAACAATAATGCTAAAAAAAAAAAAAAAAAAGTAACACTAACAATATTCAACATTGCCTTAATCCAGATTAAAACACAGTTTAACCTTTAATCAGAACCCAAAGTTCACTAATTTAATAGATATGAAACAGATTTTTTTCTCTACTCTAATAAACTTCTTTTCTTACTACTTCAAAGCATCTGTGACTGCATGCAGTCAGGTTGTCAGAATAAGCTAAGCATATCCATATATATGATAAGATAAACACCTAGAAATACTCAGACATTAAACAAAGGCATCACATATTCTGCATGCGACTACAAAGCTGAGAGGAGTCTTTTTTTCTAACCCTGCACTCATGTTTTCAATAACCCTAGAATTGTCCTATGGTGAATGGAAAACAACACCTGTGCCTCCTGTCTTCCCCATAATTTCTTAGGATTGCATCACCGAGTTGTTTTGGTCAGATCCTCCAAGCTATCCTGATCCCTGGATACATGTTCTATGGGATACACACAACACATACTTAAACCTGTTAACCACAAACCTGGAAAGAGGTGCTTCCATGACTTGTTGGTATTCATGCAGGACAGAAATCTCCACTAAAGAAAAATACTCACACTTGAAAATTTTCAAAAAAAAGAAGAAAAAAAAAAAAAAATAAAAAAAAAATAATAAAAATAAAATAATAATAAATAATAATTACGTATTTCCATGAGAACAAATGCTTTTATTTTGTCCATTCAAGAATCCTGCTAAGCAAAGCATGCATGGTCATTTGAGAAAAAAAAAAAAAAAAAAAAAAAAAAAAAAATTAAAGAAAAAAATATCAGAGAAAGTATTTTCTCTTCTCTACAAAGGAAAAGGCAACAAAGAGAGAAAAATACTAGCCCTCAAATTTTATGCATTTAAAAATACATTATCTAAAGAGCACTTTAAAGTAGCATAACAACACAACTCTCTTACTACAGTATGAATTTCCATAAAAATAATAATCGAGTTGTGTTTCCTTCTTAAGCAACATCAGGTCAAGCTTTGCAGTAAAAGAAATATTCCAGTAACACAATAAGTAAACATTACACTGGTTTGCATATTTGCATGTTACCATGTACCCATATGTTACTGTGCCCTTACACACTTGTTTTTTAGTGATAAATGTTGTAAGGAGTGTAGTACATTGATTTCCAAATTATTCTCGGACACTTGACATCAAACAGAAAAGTATATTATTCATGAAACTAATAAACAATAAAGAAAGAGGGGAAAAACAAAAAAACTACAGACCAGGCGAAGAAAAAAACATTTCAGCCCTGGGGATCAATCTTTGTAATCCACTTATGAATGTTGAGGAAATACTTTCTCAAAATAAAGCCACAAACTAAGTGTGGCTGACACACATGCAGCCAGACAGATCTGAGGGAAGGGGAAAGGGCGCACAACACAGACATAGAGGGAAGCACATGAGGGGGAGCCTACCAACCTGTCCTACTGCTTCCTTACTTCCCTGTTCTTCTGACTGTGATGGGAGAAAGGACGTGAGAGAACGAAAGAGTGAGAGACAGAGAATAGGAGGAAGATGAAGAGTGACAGAGTGGGGGAAAAGTACAAACTTTGTATTACCAAACTTTGCCTAATATACCTAAACAAAATATATAACAAATAGTATCATGTAATTTCATGTGCCTTGAGTCACCAACTTGTGACTTGGGGACAGCAAATAAGAAATTCTACTACAAATTAAAGCAAAGTCAATAATTTTTAAGAAATTCTGACTTTGATTCACCTCTCTTTTAATATCATCTAAATATCTGTGAATAAAAAATAACTTTGTACGAAGTCTCATGGACATAAATATATAAATACATACATCTAACTTCATGTCTCTTAAACTTCTATATACAAATATATTTACTTATCATACTGAGGGTTTATCATAGAAAGGGCATATGTAGACCAGGCACTTGCATGAGGGCAGATTAATTAAACACCTCTGGAAAATGGAACAGACATTACTTTTAGGGAAACAAGGGAAGCATGTGAGTGGGCCAAAGAGGGGGATTATGACATGAGACTTTGTGAGGAGAGTGAGGCCATTGCCGGGACATGTGAGATGTCTGAGTGATTCAAGGCATGAGGTGCGTTACATTGTCTGGTTAATGAGATGTACTCAATGGGATGTTGGGTGTCAAAGGCAGAAGTGCCAGATCAGTTTGCTGGAGAGACTGCTTTTCACAGAAGAGGCTGGAGAGAGACTACAAAGACAGGTGAGTTAATCTGGAAGAGTGTGGAGAAGGAGAAAGCTTACTGTGAGTGTGAACAAGAGTACAATTATTTAAGGTTGCAAAGGAGAGTGGAAATTCTACACAAGTTACAAGAGAGGGAGGAAGAAAAAGGTGAAGAAATGCATCCATTTAAAGTTTGAAGGGAACTGGAAGTTTCAGCAGGTGGGATTTTGGAAGAGCAAATAACACAGACAATTCATCAACTAGGGACTGCTGCTCAATGCTTAGGACAAATGAGATAAGGGCCTTAAGAAACAAATACAATTTTACATTGTATAAACATGTCTAACATAAAAATAAAGTATATAACTACAACATCAAATTACACTAGTTCCTGCTGTTTAAGTATAGATGAACAAGATATATAGTAAAAAAAAAAGTTCTGCCTTCAGTTGACCTAAATCTGCAAACACATAAAATATACCAAGTGAACAATCACTGCGCACAATATGAACAATGAATTCTGTCCTTACTCTTTACACACTTTAATACCCTAAATCTATTTTCCTGTAATTCCCCTTCTTATTCAACCTCCAAAAGACTCCCTCTCTATTTCTAGTTTATTTCATTAACCCATTCACCTCGAGTAAAAAAGTTTGGCAAGTGGACATGATCGCAGGATAGTTGGCATGCATCGTCAGTTTCCCCTATTTGCATCTGGCTCGTTTGGTAGTTTGCGAGCGGCATTTGGCACCTAGAAGGTTTTATTTAGCTATAATTTTTCATAACATTAAAAATTTGAAGGTATACCTTCACTTTAGGTGCTATTTCCTAAAAGCTGTACCATATAAATGAAGCCGATACTCTGTCCGATGAGCCAATGGCACGGGAATGGTCGTGATACTATGCCATCTGCTACTTTGTCCACAACAGCCATGGCATGTACATACATGCCACCCGGCGGCAGGGGGTTAATATTCTAGTCTACATCAATACATCACTATCATTCTCTATGAAGACATTCTTCTACATCTAGACATTCCAATATTCAAATTAACCCTTGTATATCATTCTGTGCAAAGTAGACTTATAAACCTATGAACTCTATGAAAATCAAGTGCCAAGTAACAGGGGGTTCAAATCTCTCTAATCTAAAAATGAAAAGAAAGAAAAGAGTAAGTGGATACTGAAAGCTGAAGTTGGAAGGATCTCTTCCTTTCTTCAATGTTTTACCATTTCTACCTATTTCCCATAGAATTAACTTCTAACTTTCCTAAACTAGTGACATCATCAATAAAAAGGCCTCTGTAGTATTTTTCAATATTTCTTTCTCTATATAAAAAAATATTAGCAAAACTGAGCATGAAAAATAAGACAGTCTGTTACAGTGTACAAAAAATGGGGTGCATATATAACAGACCTCATCAGAATATAGTTTACCATGATCCTTCAACCATTCTTTACAGCAGCATATTACATTGCAAAAATGTGAGAGTCATGCACTGTGTTGATATGCTCTTCCTTGTGGCAACAGGTAGAAACATGCAGCAGTAGAAAATAAATACCTACATTCATTATCACCATGAACATATGATAGCACACATTTAACTCTATTGTATTGCAAAATCAGTGACTTCAAAATACATCAAAGAATGGAGATTAAACTCTTCCTCATTTACCTGACTAAGAGATATCAATCTAAACACAAACAAGGGAAAGGTACACTAGATTTAGCAGGGTCACAACTACAGACATGAAACTATTACTACTCTAATATATCAACTGAAACTAAGAAATTAAATAAGAAAGAAAAAATTCAATAAACAGATCATGGGCAATACAACTCCAGCTTACCTCCAGGGTGGTCTGGTAGCGAGGAGAAAGCCTGGCTGCAGGAGTGTGGCGATCAGGACGGCCATGCAGGATGTCAACCCTGATAAAGATGGGACTTGCCAAGTTAAATGGTAACATGAATGATGAAGTGGTAAATTGTCACACTTTTTTCAAGCAAAATGTGCATCTCAAAACATTTCATCAAAGCATCTCTATTGTGTGTGCGTGGGCACAGCTTTCAAAATCAAGTAAGATGTATTCACATTCAACGTGTAATCACTTGTAGGTCCATATGTGAGAACATCTAATATAAGGTGATAATACAGTTCTATATCTTATAAATAAAGTAAGAAATACAAATAAATATATCTGCAGTACACACATACAAAATACACGCACATGCACAGACACACACGCATGCAAGCACATACACATGTAAATACTGCCATGATACTTACATGCTATTGGCCTGTCGTGATGGATTTGATGGGCGACCAGCTGAGTGGGAATAGCTTGAGGTGGAGGACCGCCTAGAGCCGCTGGGAGACTGGGTGCGCTCGGGGGAGGCTGTGCGTGGACTGCGGCTCACTACAGTCATGGCGGCTTCGTCTGTTGTTACTAGTAAATGTGCAGTTAGAGTCAATATCTTGCTACAGGTTAGGAAATGAACATGTCTGATTACTCTTTTTAAAGTGATAATACCAGTACTTCATTCAAAATCAGTAAACAAAAGCTGATATTCTATCTTAACTCATTAATGATACTAGAAGAAAAAAAAAAAGAAAAAAGATGAGGAGGAACACTTCAAAGCAAACACTTACTGGGGCGATCTTGGAAGAAAGCATCAAAGACTACAAAGTTGTTAATCTGCGGAATTGTCCTACTGAGGCCATAATGCTTGCGTAAGAAGGCTAAGAATTTATCTGATGGCTTGTCCACAGCCATGTGCTCTGGCCGCACATTTTGCTCCTGCAGATGGCCGAAAACAGAACCGTCAAATATCATAGTTCTCTTATAAGCAATCATTATTC